AAACTCTGAGGGCCTGCTGATCAAGGGCTGGGCAGAAAAAGTGAGGGCTTACTCTGCCTTCCACGCTGAGATGCTGGCAATAGGTAAGGCAGTCAAATTAGTTGCTGAGTGGAAATGGCAATCTGTAATTATTGAAACGGACTGTCATGATCTCTATAAAGCTGTGAGCCTGTACTCCTTTCGTCACTGCCCATGGAGTCTTCATGGACTGCTGAATGAAATCACTGATCTTGTGCAAGAACGAAGTTTTGTCTCCTTCTCTCTCATTCCTCGAGAGGGCAATTCTGCAGCTGATTGTTTGGCTGCTTTGGCTTCAAGGGAGGTGGGACCTAACGGTCTGATCACTGAATCTCCACCTCCTCTAGCTACTATCATCCTTCGTGAAGCACAGGCCTTTGATGGTGTGTATCGTGACCAGCGGAGCTTGGAGGCCGAAAGGGAGGGAATTGGCTAATGTTATTTATGTCTTTATTAGCTCCCTGTGTTTGTTGTCGGTTATAGCTTTCTTCATTCCGTGTTGAACTCCCTGTTTTTATATTTCAATGAATGCCTCTTTGCTGGTCAAAAAAAACAACTGTATAATCAATAATTAATGCGACTTCTCATCTTAAATTTTAAAGGTAAATGAGAAATTTATCTTGATCCTAAATTTAATATTCTAATTCATTTTGCCTTTCAAATTTTTAAAACAAATCACAAAAAATATCTGTTAAATTTTAAAAAGATAAATAGGTATTCTTATAACAGTTTTGACCATTTTGCAATGATTTTAACATGTCAAAATCTGTTAAAATTATTCTTACTAATTGCATATATCGCATCTAAAAGTAATAAGGATATTAAAAAAAAAGTAATAAGAATATTCTAGAAAAACAAACACACATTCTAATAAATAATTGACTTAACTATTTTTTTTTAATTTATTCAAATCAGCTATTAAACCCTTATATACTAAGGATTGGAGATAATAAAATCCAAGATTGAAGTTGAGTATTGATTTGGTTTTTTTGGGCGACAAGCCACAAGAAGAAAATTATTTCATATACATATTGAAATTTATTGAAATTTTGTTTTTTCTGCCAACGAAAATATATATTTATAAGGTGCAAAGTCGTACAAATAAAAGAGGACAGATATATGAGGAAAGACTAGAGAAAGCTACGTGAACAAAAATACATCTCTTTTTTTCGGCTCATACGAACTTGCATCTTGCCGTATGGTGATCTATGATCTGCTGCTATTGTTGTATTTAGACAAAACTGTTTTTTGTGTTTTTTTTTGGGGGGGGGGGGGACTGTATAATGAATGCTACCTCTCCCCTTAAATTTTAAAGGTCAACTAGTCCAACACCCGCACAACGCGCATGTGAATCCTGAGAAATATAGATAAAGGAAAATTGTTGCTGAACTAAATAACATAGATATAAAAGAAAATTCAAGAAAAGCAGTACTATTAAACACAAGTTTTTGGAGAGTAAACCATCAGATAAAAAGATTATAGAAAACTTCTTTGAAAATCACGTTAGAAGTGTTGTTGGTGGCATTTATTTGGTCATTAAAGATCAAAATTTTGAGGCCTTCCTGTTTCTGAACTCTAGAACCACAACGTACAACTGACCAATCGTATGAAATATTTGCATTATGCTTGCTATTGATTTGTGCGATTTTTACTTTTTTTAATAAATTGTATTATTTATATTCACTTGCTATTCATTTTATTTTTATTCATGTATGAAATCAATGATAAATTTGTTCATAACCTATCATATATAGCACATATTTCTTCTTTTAAGAATTGTAAGAGTTTTTTTAATCATGAATGTGCACTTAGAAAATCTAGGAATCACTTTTACAAAGTGAGAAAGTAAACATATATGTGTGTGTGTGTTTTTTTTTATGCCTACTATTGACTCATGCGAATTTCAGTTTTTTAAATAAATTGAATTATTTATATATTAGCTTGCTATTGATTTTATTATTATATTGATCTAAAAACTTAATGACAAATTTATTTGGAACATATCCTATATAACAAAGATTTCTTAAGAAAATTAGAATAAAGAACCTAAAGGAATAATATTTATTGAGGAAGATCTTAAAGATTATAAATACTTAGAAGGACCAAAAAACAAAATATAAATATACTAATACTAAACTACTCCTAACCAACTTCCTTATGCTCCCTCTAACCACATCTTAGCTACTTGACAATTGTTGGCTGAAAAAATAGGAGAGCACTCCATTGTCATCAATTTTCATTATTTTTTATTCAATCCATACATTATAAAAAATTTTACAATATAATTATATAAAATAATGTTCACTTAAATTTGATCATTAAAATTTAATAGTTTGTGTTCTAATTTTTTTTTTACAAAAAGCTAAATTTTATATACAAATTTAATTTATTTTTTATATAACATTAAATTAGGAGCAGTGAGATTAAATTTTTATAAAAATTTATGCATCTTAAAATATGGTATGAAAAATAATTTTTATTTTGATCTTGGTTAAAATAATAAAAATAATATATTTTTAATTTTTTTTGTAAATTTTATAATATGTTTGTCTATCTATGTTTTTATCAACATTTTCACTCATTTACTATATCTTATTAGTTTTTAGAAATTACTTAATCTAATTTTTAGAAGTAATTAAATATATAATTTTTTGATTGTATTATATTTAATAAGGTGAACTTTTTTGAGGAAAAAGAGATGGAGATGAACAATTTGCCCTTACTTCAATGGCTGAAGAAAACTTTATTTTTGGTTAAAAATTTTGGGTTCTTTTTGTCTTTAGCTACTGATGAATAAAAACAAGAGAAAATGACAGATAAAGCCACTCCAATATATACAATTCCAGATTGGGTCCTGGAATTGTGGAAATGACAAATTGGGTCAATGACCCAATCTGTCATTTGCAAAATAAGGGCAAATGGACAAATTTGCCCTTATTTCAATTTTAAGCAAAAGGCACGGCTAAGTGAAGATGGAAACCGAGCAAGAGGCGGGAAGCAACGAGACAGTGGAGGAAGCGATTTTTGTCTGTGAAGAAGGCAGATTTCGGGAAGGGAGAAAAGGGCTGCCAGTCGCATGTGGTAGAAGAAGCAAATCCGGTGGTAGAAGAAGAAGGGAAATTAGGGCATTAGCGCTCATTTCTTTCCTTCATTCAGTCGCTGTGAAAGAATTTATACAGGTTCTCTCCGTTCATTTCTTTCTTGGCTTGAATAACATTGTTTCATTTCATTTGTAGTTAATCTGTTTTTCTGTGTATACTGTTATTGCGAGCGTTTGTTGATTCGGTTGGAAAATTTTTTGTTCCTGAAAAAATCGAGAAACTGACACAAAGTTCTTTTAGCGGCAAGGTGGCGAGGTTGTTACAGAGAAGTAATTTGAATATAGAGATTGTAGAACTGACGTTGTGGGGATTCCGAACTTTTTCTGGCTGTTGTTGATGAACTCACTCTTAAAGTGTTTTGATCATTACGAATGAGTTCTGATTTGCATTGTCTTGTGGGTATAATTTTTTCTGTTAAAGGTTGAACTATTTCGTTTGATATGAATATATATAATTGTTCAATTGCATCATTTTGCTTGGGCATCACTATTTTGGAAGTAGACAGACCTGTAGAACAGAGTATCTAAGGCCGTTCTTCTAAGTTAAGCATGGCTGCTGAGTGAGGGTGGAGGGAAATAATGTATCCTTGATTTTAGAGTCTACTATTTCTATGCATGTTGTAAAAACAATCAGTTCAAGCAAAAAGATTGCTAATTGGGTCTGCTTCTTATTAAGTCATCGTAGATCATGTATTTGAATTGTTGAGGATTTATTTTTGTATCTGGAGCAAAAGTCATTGAAATTGAACTGGTTTCCTGCATGTCTACAACTGGAGACGTTCGGTTTGTTCTCTTGTTATAGAAATGTTTGAATGGATTAGGTGATGATGGTTGTTGATGAAAATTGATGGCTATTGCAGGATAACAAATATGTCAGCCGATGAACAAGGTCCATCTAAACCTGTGAGGAGCGGGTTGCTTTTGTTTAGAACTGAGTTCATGAATAAGTGTAAGAAGAAGTTCAAGAATGTGACCCAATGCACTAAAGCAGTGACAAAGGCATGGAAAGAACTGCCTGAATCAGAGAGACAAAGATATAAAGATGAGGCAAAGAAAACAAGGCCACCAAAGGCAACAACGAGCAACTACCAGCTTCCTTTTCATTGCCGTAGTGCACTAGGACAGTTCATTTCCTTGGCAGCGTATGTTAAGGACAACAAGGATCTGAAAGACGAGGTTCAAGCAATGGAGTTGTCAAGGTTGCTAGAGTTGAGACTTCGTAGACTCCCTCGAGACATTTGTGCTGCTATGATGCGTTCATATGATCCACCAACGCAGCAATTTCTCATTAGGGGAATGTCTAGAAAACTGGATGCAGTAGATGTGCAAATGCTCCTGGGCATACCCCATGTTGGGAGAAGAGAGGTGACATCTGAAGTTAGTGAGGACGACCCTGCGTTTATAAGCCTTAGGCTTAATTATTTCCAGAAGTCTTATACAGATATTTTGAAGGTGATAACATCTGGACAAAAGAAGGGTGATGAATTTAAAATGTTGTTTATGCTCCACACACTCGGAACTCTGTTATGCCCCACTTCTAGTGGAAGAGTAAGTGAGCGACTAATAAAGGTGGTGGCTGCAACAAAGGATTCATTTGTGGAATATGATTGGGCTACGTTTGTGGTGCAAGAGCTGTCGAAGGAGATGGAAGATTATTTGAGGGTTGTGAGGAAGCAGGATGGCAGCTGCAATGTTGGTGGATGCATATACCTGTTACTGGTATGCATTTTTTTTATTACTTATTGTTTTGCCATTGTAACAGTTTTAATGTCATTTAATTGGTGATACAGCTATACTTGCTTGAGTATTTTCCTATAACTGAAAGTGCAAAGCATGACCACACTGAGGCCATATCATTTGGACGGATAAGAGGGTCAACGAAATGAGTAATAAAGAAAGAAAGAGCCGCATTGGACTTCTCTATTCAGAAGGGCGTGCTGGAGTGCCTGATAATAAGGGAGGAAGCGAATCTGTACCTTATCTAGACCCGGTAAAGGCAACCTTGTTAAATAGTGATTTTGTTTATATTATTTAGTAATATGTCATGTTTACAAACTTCTGTAACCTTCTCAAATATTTTTGAAATGACAATACATACTGAAAATTTTTTTGGTTTCCTATAGGAGTTGAAGGATTTGCGTGAGAGGTTGGTGGGGATGATTAGAGAAAATAGCAACAAACTTGTGGCTATTGTTGACAATGAGCTGATGAAGGTACAACTGGGAAGGGAGTACAGGCCAAAATCTAACAATAAAAGGCATGTACGGCCCTATGAGGAAGAACAACTTGAAGGTGAAGCTGATGGAGAAGATGATGGCGAGAAGGAGAAGGATGGTGATGGAGAAGATGATGGCGAGAAGGACAAGGATGGTGATGGAGAAGATGATGGCGAGAAGGACAAGGATGGTGATGGAGAAAATGAAGATTCTGAGCATGATATTGAAGAGGAAGAAGGTGAAGAGGAAGATATTGAACAACTATCATTGCAATTATCTCCTATCACCATCATTCACCCAGGTGCTGAAGGAGGAGCATCGGATGAAGAGGAACTACTGGACAAGGCAGAACAAGTAAGAAGATCGAAAAGGCCGATGAAGCCCGCCCCAAAACTACAGTCTCCCTGGGTTGTGCCTAAGGTTGTGAAGAGAACAAACCGGAAGATGGATGATAAGGAAAAAGTTTTCATCACTGTCTCCAAAATGTGCAGTTCAGCTGATGGTGACAAGTAAGCCTTTTATTGCTATTAAATAAATGTGAATGAAACTTTTTTTGGCCTGTCTAAGCAAAATGAATACTTGATCTACAGGAGGTTGGTTGAGTTGTATGACTTCCATGTAACTCGTGATGATCTAAGGTCATTGGGTGGAATGCATAGAGTTAGTAACCATGTAATGAAATCTCCACCTGATTAGCTATTGTGTATAACAGATGCTGTGCAAGCTGAAACTTAAAAATTTTGTCATGTGTCAAACAGGTCATGTCAATGGTGTGCCACATGCTGATGGGAGAAATAAAAGAGGGGGTGGACAAGTTAGACGACACATATTTGATGCCTACTTTATGGTAAGGTTGCTGTAACATTACTTAATTTCAGCGATAGTTTATGTCAATATGCTTATAGTGTCATATTTTGCAGTCGAAACTTTGTAGTCCAGGGTGGAGTGTTGCAGTGAGCAAGAAGGAACTACAAGAGGAACATGTTGGTTACAACATTGGGGATTGTGACTTGATTTTGGGACCAGCACTTGTAGACCAACACTGGTTCTGCTTTGTGCTGGAGCCGAAGGTCATGAACTTCTATGTGCTGGATTCACTGAACGTATATGTTAGCGGGCAGCCAAAGAAAAAGAACAAGCAAAAGGGAACAATTGTTGACGATATGGAAAAGTTCCACAACATTTGTGTATGTACCAATTATTGTTTATAATTAATCTGCGAAATTTTTATTTCATTGATTGCTATTGTTTTATCCAGCGGGACCGGTTTCACGATATTATAGAGTTGGTTCAGCCAAAGTTGATTGGGAAGAAGCCAAAGCCTGATATAATTTATCCTGATGTTGCAAAACAAAACAACATGTGAGTGCGATTAACTTTTTTGTTCTTTAAATTGATTGGTTGGCTGGATGTTGTTGGGCAAAATTGTTAACACGTCATGACATGCTGTGTGCAGCAAGGACTGTGGAGTCTATGTTATGCTATGGTTAAAATCGTGGCATCCACAGGCAGCGCTTAATTATACTCCTGTACGTTTTATGTAATTAATGATTGTTTGTTGTGATTGATTATTGCCCTATGTGACGAGGGATTCAATGTCTGTGCAGGATCAAGTGGCTCAATTTAGGCGTGATCTAATGTGGTGGATGGTTAATCATCCTAACAATGCATGTCGTGATGCTGCCTTAACACTGTTGGAGGAACAAGAAGATATTAGAAAAAGCAAACGACAGCGATCAACTCAATAGGAGTGTCAAGAATTAGTATTTACATGTGTATAGGACAAGTTGAAAGGTTTCTTCAATAGTAACCATGTAATTTCATAGGGGATGATGTTTACCGGTAATGTACATGTTCAAATTCTGGGTGATTATCAAGTTACGACTTGTTATTAAGTTGAGTATCTAGATCTATTTAAAGGATGACTATAACATTTTAATCGTTACCTATATTCGTTTAAGCAAATAACTAGTCACTGATTCGTAGTTAGTGGTGCGCAATGAATAATCATATTCATTCACTAGTTCGATTTGAGGAAGCACTAGAAGTGTGTACTCATTACCTACATCTGTGTAGAAAATAACTATTTACTATATCAACGTACGCAGGAATGCCCCATGAGGAGTTGCTATTGTGATTCAGTAAAAGTGATGAGGTTATTACCCACAGCTAATCAACAATTCACTAGAAGTGTTTAGGCATTACCTACATCGGTGTAGACAATAACTACTTACTATATCAACGTACGCAGAAATGGCCCATGACAAGTTTCATTGAGAGTTAGTACAAGTGATGAGATTATTACCCACATCTGATCAACAATTCACTAGAAGTGTTTAGGCATTACCTACATCGGTGTAGAAAATAACTACTTACTATATCAACGTACGCAGAAATGGCCCATGAGGAGTTTCATTGTGATTCAATAGAAGTGATGAGGTTATTACCCACAGCTGATCAACAATTCACTAGAAGTGTTTAGGCATTACCTACATCGGTGTAGAAAATAACTACTTACTATATCAACGTACGCAGAAATGGCCCATGAGGAGTTTCATTGTGATTCAATAAAAGTGATGAGGTTATTACCCACAGCTGATCAACAATTCACTAGAAGTGTTTAGGCATTACCTACATCGGTGTAGAAAATAACTACTTACTATATCAACGTATGCAATGGCCCATGACAAGTTTCATTGAGAGTTAGTACAAGTGATGAGATTATTACCCACAGCTATCAACAATTCACTAGAAGTGTTTAGGCATTACCTACATCAGTGTAGAAAATAACTACTTACTATATCAACGTATGCAGAAATGGCCCATGACCAGTTTCATTGAGAGTCAGTACAAGTGATGAGATTATTGCCCACATCTGATCAACAATTCACTAGAAGTGTTTAGGCATTACCTACATCGTGTAGAAAATAACTACTTACTATATCAACGTATGCAGAAATGGCCCATGAGGAGTTTCATTGTGATTCAATAGAGTGATGAGGTTATTACCCACAGCTGATCAACAATTCACTAGAAGTGTTTAGGCATTACCTACATCGGTGTAGAAAATAACTACTTACTATATCAACGTACGCAGAAATGGCCCATGACCAATTTCATTGAGAGTCAGTACAAGTGATGAGATTATTGCCCACAGCTGATCAACAATTCACTAGAAGTGTTTAGGCATTACCTACATCGGTGTAGAAAATAACTACTTACTATATCAACGTATGCAGAAATGGCCCATGAGGAGTTTCATTGTGATTCAATAGAAGTGATGAGGTTATTACCCACAGCTGATCAACAATTCACTAGAAGTGTTTAAGCATTACCTACATGCACGTCTGTCATGCACCAATAACTACTCACAGTAGCATAATTGCAGATAGGAAAAATAACATGACAGCAAATGCATCACAACTACAACAATAGAATAGAGAATAACAACATCACTTTAGTCATTAACCAACAATCATCAAATACATCACAATAACTGATTTACATATGTTTCATGACAAGTGGACATTAAGATGATGCTTCCACTTAATGTTTCATTGTCAAGGACATCACCCACCCAACTGTCCACAGTATTTACAATGATATAACAATAACAGTTAAAGCATTGACCAACAAAAAACATACCCAACAACATAATGCCAACATGGCCATTAACCAAAAACCAACATGGCCAATACATTAAACTATTTACATTTTTTCAATCAAAAAAATGGCCCAACAGTGCTAACAAAAAAATGACGCATCACATGGTGTACATCCCAAATCAACTTGGATTTGGGTTTTTGCACGTCCTTCTTGTATGTCCAACTTGATGACATTGAGTACAGCGGTATATCTTTTTGTCTTGGTATTGTGACTCATGCCTTGTAATCTTAGGCCTTCCAGGAGCCCAACTTGTGATTGGGGTTGCAGTAAAATTTGATTACATATATTCTCCATCCTATAGTCATTTATATTTGGCATGTCAATTGTGACCACCGGAGTCATGCACCTCCCATAAAACTTCTGCTGACATGAAAATTTGTACCATCCCTCAATATAATCATAAATATCACCATGGACAGTTTTCACCGCTGCACAAGCATGCCTACATGGAATCCCTGTCATCTGCCACTCTGCACAACTACAATGGTGCAAGCTGAGACTCACTCGGTGGTGTCCACGTGAGGTTTGGACATTGACATTTCCCCTACCATAATCTGTTGTAATGAACTGCTTACTAACCTCCACATTTTCCTTTACTTTGGTCTCTATCTTTGGCCCTATACAACTCTTCCATTTTGTCATTGCCACACTTGATGCTTGCATCTTTTTCGCAACTTTCTCACGATGCTCATGAATCATTTGGGCTACATTGTGCTTTCTTTCCTTGACCATCCAAGCATTGAATGATTCAGCAATATTGGTCGTTATATTATCCCATCGTTTATATGGGAACTTGCTCACAGCCCACTTATCTACATCCCCATGATTGTTAAGCCAGTCAAATAACTCTGGAGAGAACTCCCTCATTTCTGCCATTGCCTTGTCAAATTCATCGTCAACCCTAGCCCATGCAATTTTATTAAGAAGCATTAATGCATCCTCTTTGGAGCGTGTTCTGCTCCTTTTACCTCTGTTCAATTTGAGCCACTCTGCACTAAAGTTCTCCTTAACGTGCCTATAACAATACGCATGCCTGTCAGAACCGAACACTGATTGTACAGCTCCTATTATGGCATTATGACGGTCTGACACAATAGTTAATGGCTTTGAGCCAACTATCTTTTTAATCATAGACATAAACCAAGTCCAGTCATCAATTGTCTCTCCCTTTACAATAGCCATTGCAAAAGGCAACAGCTCATTATTTGCATCATATGCCGAACCTGCGAGGAGTGTTCCCTTATATGGTCCAGATAAATGAGTTTCGTCAACATACAGAACGGGTCTAGCACCAGCCAAGAAACCCTCTATACAACACCCGTATGCGATGAACACACGCTCAAATCTGTAGTTAGGACCAGCTACCCATTCAGCTACTGTTTTCTCATCGGTTTCCTTTAGCCTTTGGCATATCCATGGTATTAACATATATGAATGTTCAGGTCTACCATGTATGTCTTCTATTGCCTTCTCCTTCGCCCTATATGCCTGTTTGTATGTAACATTCAGACCATATTCTGTTTGCAATTTTGTCCTTATTTCACTTGCCCGCTTGTCAGCATGGTTCCTCACCTCATCGATAATTATACAGGATGTCATATTAGATCTTGCACACTGTCTAACTTGCAAATTATCTTGGGCACTATGGACATGCTCATTAATGAATGTGGTGACACGAAGATATGGAACATTCTTCCCCAATGCACTTGCACATATTTTCCATGGACAACCTTCCACTTTGCAAATGACAGACATTCTCTCTTTGCTGTTCCTCAAAAATTTAAGCTTAAAGTTATGTGCGATGCTAAACTTGTACAAATACTCCTTAAACAAACCAGCATGTGCAATTTTTTGCCCCACGCCTGTAAAAAGTTCCAACCATTTACTATAGTTCATCTCAGTAATTTGTGCCACTGCATTCCCTCCACTAGAGCTTGGGCCTTCATGCGTGCCATCACTGCCTACATGTGAATGCATTCAGCAGTACTTTCATGACTCACGTGCTCATAATCATTTCCCAAACTGATATAAGATACAGCCATTTCCTGGCGTGACAATCCCAACCATCTTTCAATTTTGGATCTGCATACATGATAACTACAACTGTTAGCATATTGACAACATCTGTTCCTACATTCACTATATTAGCACAGCAAATAGCAACTTACACCAGCAAAGATTTTTTTACTTACATTTGTGTATCAGTCATCTCATGTGGTTCTGTCTCAATTCTGCATGCACGATCACTACATTTATTAGCATATTAACAATATCTGTTCCCATATTAACTACATTAGCACAGCAAATATCAACTTCACCAGGAAATATTTTTTTACTTACCTCTGTGCATCATTCATCTCAGGTGGTTCTGTCTCAATTCTGCATGCACGATAACTACATTTGTTAGCATATTGACAACATCTATTCTTACATTCACTACATTAGCACAACAAATAGCAACTTACACCAGCAAAGATTTTTTTACTTACATTTGTGCATCAGTCATCTCATGTGGTTCTGTCTCAATTCTGCACGCACGATCACTACATTTGTTAGCATATTAACAACATCTGTTCCTACATTCACTACATTAGCACAGCAAATATCAACTTCCACCAGCAAAAATTTTTTACTTACATTTGTGCATCAGTCATCTCATGTGGTTCTGTCTCAATTCTGCATGGACGATCACTACATTTGTTAGCATATTAACAATATCTGTTCCCACATTAACTACATTAGCACAACAAATAATAACTTCAACCAGAAGAAATTTATAACTTACATTTCTTGATCATTGATTTTATGTCTTTCAGTCTCATTGCCTTTCAATGATGTCATTATGCACAAAAATATTTCTAACTCCGCCATCATCAACAAGATCAATTAATGTCCTCTCATCATACTTGACAGTATACTTCATGTCCCAACTGCTACCATCATAACCACTGCATTCTGATATAGTTGCCCTTAAATCTTCAAGTGTCATTCCATCTTTTATCGTTTCTGCATGTACTCTACCTCCATGATATCTAACTTGACCTTCAGGACTAATAACAAATTCTCCATCTACATGAAAGTAACAAAATAATTCCTTCCCAGGAGTGGAGCCAATATTACAATTCATTGTGCAAGCTAAGCTGAAACAAATGAATAATCATTATGTTAGTTCACCGATAATGATATTTTGTCACTTCTTTAAATAAAGATAAATAACAGTACCTCTTCACTCATTAACAACTTTAGTTTACGGTTTCACACTTTAACATTAGCTATTAACTATAATATCCACCCTATCATAACTGTCATGCCTCAAACTTCAATGTCATGCAATCAGCTTCGACTTTCTCCCAAAAACAATCCTCCATTCCCCAACACTAATCATTGTAAACCCTACCAAAAAGCAACAAACCCCTATGGATAAATGCTTCAGCTCAGGCAAATAAAAATACGAACTTCACTGTCACCAACGAAACGCTGCAAGTACGCATGCTTCGACCTTCGTACGTAACCCAATTTACTGTATCAGCTTCGTCAAAAAAACGTTGATAGACCCATATTGATAAATGATCATGGTAGGGGATGAAAAGAGGAAGATTGTGGTGCACAAAATTACTTCACTTGCTTTTTTCAACCTCATTCAGATTTCAAGCCCAAGAACGTATACCCAACCATACCCACAATCACAATACTTCAAAATGAAGAACAAAACCACCGTGATTAGACCCCAGGATGAATAGACGAAAACTGTGGTGTGAGAAATTACTAACCTTGCTTGCTTCAACCACCTTCCAAGGTCCCACCGTCAAACGTTCTCCACCTTTCTGCGGTATAATTCTACAGAGCCATAAGTGTCATCGACATTTCCTTGCTTCAGTATAATTCTTTTTGCTTTTACATCAGAAGGGCAAATTTGTCCATTTGCCCTCATTTTGCAAATGACAGATTGGGTCAATGACCCAATCTGTCATTTCCACAATTCCAGGACCCAATTTGGAATTGTATATATTGGAGTGGCTTTATCTGTCATTTTCCCTAAAAACAAGGCAGAAGCTATTAATGATAATGGTCAAATATTTAAGGTGTGATTAGAAGAAATGTAAGTGGTTTAATCAGGGGCAATTTAGCATTTGTATATTTATATTTTTGTTTATGGTCTTTCTAAATAATTACAGTTTTTAAAATCTTTTATAAGGAATATAATTTTTTTCTTGGTCCTTCTCTCCAATTTTCCTATATTTCTTGTTGGAAAAATTCCTTAAATAGATATCTGCATAACCAAAATTTTTATTTGGGTGATTAAATTTGTTAAAGAACTAACCAGATTACTTACTTAGAGAAGGATTTAAAAATTTTATGAAATAACTTCAATGTCCCTGTCATTACAAACAAAAAGAGAAAGCAAAAGGAGGAAAAATTTCAATCAACATAATAGAAGCTAACTTCAAAAATTAACAACTCCAAATTACATTTTAACGCATTTCACTTAATTATTAACAATAAATTTGCCTTCATAATCATTTTTGCGTTTTACAATCAACACAATAAAACCCACATTTACAAATTAACAACTTCATATTTGGTTTTAACACTTTTCACTTAGTTATTAACAACAAACGTATCCCTCATAGCCATTATCATTATCACCTTTTACAATCAAAATAACATAATCTGTCTTCAAAAATTAACAATTTCATATTAGGTTTTAACACGTTCCCTTTAGTTATTAACAACACATGTGACCCTCATAGTTATGATCACTATCACTTATGACAATCAGCATAACAGAATTCACCTTCAAAACTTAACAACTTAAAATCATGTTTTAACATGTTCCACTTAGTTATTAAGAATGTTAAGAGTTTCTGTAATTGTAGACATACACTTAGAAAGTCTAGAAATTGTTTTAACCAAGTTAGACTACATGTTTGGTTGTGATGCTTACTCTATTAAACCCGTGTCATTTTTAGTTTTTTTTTTTAATAAACTGCACCATCTCTATTTTTTCTTTCTATTATTAACTTTATGTTGGGTTAATATAATTTTTTGATCCCTCAAATTTAGGCTCATTTAAGTTTTGGTCCTTAAAATTTTAAACATGTGGTTTTAGTTCTTGGAATATACTCTGTTACAGAACATTAGTCCCTAGCCGTTGAGTTTTGCTGAGCTGGCACAAATAGTGTTAATTTGGATGACGTGGCTTCTAACATAGCAATATGAATTGATTAAGTGACATGATAAGCTGGACATGTCAAAAAAAAAAAAAAAAAAGAGTCAGGTCTGTTTAAAACGCAACACAAGACACATTGGAAAAAGAGAAACAAAAAATGACGCGGAAGAGAACAAATGAAAGATTAAAGCCGCGAGGTGAAGAGGGCCTGCATCTTATGGCAAAAGAGTGACGCCATTGTTGCCAAAAAGGCAGCATTTTCCGGCAACTATGGTTTTGTTGCTTTCTTACATTGTTTTCTGTTTTGTGCTTGAATTGTGAGATTGAGATTTTGACTGGGTTACAGGAAGAGGGAGAAAGAGAGAGAGGAATCAAATAGTAAATATAGCAATATTCAAAAGTGTGAAATTAGGGAATGTTACTAGAAACAAAGAAGCTAACTCACTCACTCCATGTCGCCATTACTGAGAGAGATTGAGGAGTGAGATGTAAACGGGGAAGAAGAAATCCTAAGTGTTTTACTTTTTATGCAAATGGGTTTTTTGCCACCTAGAGAAATGTATGAGAAAGAAAGACTACCAGTGGTAGTGACAGCTTGCAAAAAGACGACGAGATCCGCCACATAGAGAGTGTAACAATCCTGAATTTTATTTTATTATTATTTTTAAATGAGCATATATATATATATATCTCTCTCTCTCTCTCTATATCTATACATGAATTTGGCGGCTGTGTAGTTGAATGGTATTGGAGACTTGTATGCGTGTTAAGAGGGTTCGAATCTTAACGCTGGCAAAGGGAAATTTGTATATATTTTTTTCCTCAGCTCCTTGAAATTACTTATCTAACCCTGCGAAAAAAAAAGGGAAAAGAAAAGGGGGCAGAATCAGATTTTTTTTTCGGTTGTGAGGCATGGATTCTTAGAGCTCTAGTAATCCTTTATCTTTTTTTTTTTTTTTCAAGTTTCACTATTCTGCTCCTTCTCTTTTGTCATTTAGTGTTGAAAGATGGTAGAAGAATGGAGGTTTGTCCCTTTCCTTGCCCTATTGTGACCAAATGATCTCCACCTTCTTCCTTCTCTTTTATTTCTCATTAGCTTAAGTTAGATGTTTTGGGTTCTTCCTATCTTTCTGCTGTGACGTGAACTGAGGAAGGGAGGGCTGAGTTTATTTATTTATTCTTCTTAATTGCAGCTGCTGGTATAAAAAAAAAAAATTGAAGGGATTGGAGGAAACTTGTTGACTAAAACGTGAGATGAGAGATTATTTTGAAAGGTAATTTATAATGCTTGATTGGAGGAATTGTTTGAATCTTGAGAATTTTTTGGGTGCCGTGACTTAAATTGTTTGATAAATATTATTTTTAAAAAAAAAAGTAGACTTGAGGAATTCTTTTAGTTTAAATTGAAGCTTGTTTTATAAGTTCATGTTGGGTGCCCTTAAACTGTTTGATGAAATGTTCTACAAGAAAAAAGAGATTCATTTCTTGAGTGTTTGTATAACATTTAATGACAGAGAATAATATGGATACTATTTTGGATTAATTGTGACTTAACTCTGATTTTCATGTGGTGCTTGCAGAAAAAGAGAGAGTTAGGAATTTGATTGTTACGGGGTTTATGTCATTGGGGAGCAAAATAAGTTATAATTTCAATAATAAGCTTACTTACTCTTGTTAATTCAAACACCTATGGAATAGTTGACATTGCCAAAAAAAAAAAGATGAGTTTGTGAATATGGTATTAAAATTTAGGAACTATTTAAGTTTTACATTGGAACTTGAATTACTACCTACGTTGACTATATAAATATATACTTAAACCGTATTCTCATTCATACCAAATTGAGCATTAGATTTATACTTTATATATTCATTGAAACTAAAATGATTCTTTCTTGTTTTTGGACCCATTGTAAACATAGATTGGTGAAGGATTGCTTATTTGCATAGGTGCTTAAAACCTTAGTATTTCAATTATATTAGAAGATTGAGTGAATCATAAAGATCAATATTTTATTTGGACTTGTAAAAGTTAAGAAAGGAGTCTTATATATATATATATATATATATATAAAAACTTTGTTAAATATATGTATATATGCGTATGCATATAAACATATATATATATATATATTAACTCTTTAATGTTAAGTGAACATAATTTTATTTGTATGTTAGGGGATTAAAGCAGAGCCATATTTGAAGGCTATTAAATGCTTTAGATTATAGCTATTTGATTACCATGTGAGTAAATAACGTCCCACAAGATTTAGAATTGATATCTTTTTTGTTAAACTCATATGTTTTAAGTATTACCTTTTCTGTAACGTTTTATGGACATTTTAGGAGTTAACATGACAACAACAACAAAAGTTTGAAAATGAAGTATAGATTTCATTTCTCTTATTTGATTCAAATCTTTTATGCATGCACAGAAGGGATAAAATTTTCTTAAGGAAGCTTTATCCAATTAGTATTGAACTTGATTTGTAATCTAAAGTTGTTTACTTCCACGTATGACGAAAATTGTTTTCAAACGACTGAAAACACAACACTGGTTGCTAATGGCAGTTCTGTTAGTCCCTGGCATGCCATGGCACACCTAGCTAGCAGGGTGAATTTGGGAGGTGCTAGCCCCGTGTGACGACTAACACATGTGGAACGGAGGATGGATTTCGTGAGCAGTACTCACACCTATTTTTGTGAGCTTTGTTCTCACGCCTATTTTCGTGGCTTCTAGCCACGTCGAACATGTTATCGACCCTCATGGACTATGTGTCCACACCTGTTACTATTCTGTGAAAGTTCTAATATTAAACAAAAGTGATTTCTAGACTTCTTTTATTAACCTTCGCCAAGTAAGGCTTCTAATTCTATTTTATTAATTTTCCTAAGAGTGATATTTATTCCTTGCTTGTTTTGTATTCTTAGTTTGCTAATTAATTAACAAATAAATCAATTGTTCTTATTTAAAAATTTGAGTTATCCTACCTATCATAGCTTCATACATTTGATGATACTGTTTTTTTTTCCTAATCATTATTGTGGGGATGTTGTTTACCGGTAGATGATTTTTTTCATTCAAATAGTAGAAGTGAACCTGCTCCTCCAGTTGGTTCTTGAAGCTCACTTGGGATAAGAAGTTTTTGGATTGCTTTTGGAACCATGTAGTTGATATAAATATTTAAATATACTTTTGCATATTCTAGTAGAGTCGCTCCCCGTACCTTATAGGCAGGATCCTGTCTTCTTTGTTATTTTAAGATATATGTTTATGTATGTTGCTGTAGAGCGGAGCTTCTTATGTTGTATAAAACTTGTCAAATTGTTTGGGACCTTTGGGAAGCTTGCCTTATAGGGGAGACTGCCAAAGTCTCCATAAAGATCCTAATTTTTTTATTAAGGGAAATGTGATATATGTATATTTGTTCCTAAAGTATAGTGATAATTATATGTGGCTACGGATGTCATATTGTTGTTTATCAAAAGCTTAGTTATACTTTAAGACTTAAGGAATATGAGTCATTTCTTGTATTCTATGCCAATCAGCTCTAAGTTCAGGCCGTGATAGAGAGTGTGTTTGTGTGTGTAAACGCAAGTAAAATCATGCTTTTCAAGTTTCTAACCACACCTATACTACTACTTTCGGTCCTTAATATAAAAGCTAATTGACTAATTTGAATAGATTAAAGAAATTAGTTAAGTTAATTATTTGTAATAAATATGTATTTTTTTTTAAAAATACTTTTACTAATCAATTGTACTAGTTAGAACTATTACAAGGACTACCTTGAGGGGGGAAAAAAGACAGAAAGATAAAGTAGATTGAGATCTTATATTTGAGACCCAAATAAAAGTCAAACGAGATCTTATATTAAGAACCGGAAGTAGTATTATTATATACACCAAAGGCCAACATGCTTTTCTTTTCATTGCTATTATTGCATCACAAATACTCATTCTCTAGTATTTCAGCCAATGCAAAACTGATTCTGTTAACCGATGAATGGCTGTACGTGAAGCCATTGATCCATCATGTTAGGTATATGCAACTTGCAATATAGGTTACAAGTACACCTGGCATAGATTATTATGATAATCCATTGTATCAACTAAATCATCTTAGCTCATACCAACTCCTTTAATACTGTCCTAGTAACAACTGTCCCAGGTGGCTGCATGCAAATGTTTGTGAACTGCATAAAATAAAGAATATATTTCCAACCTTCCCTAATTAATGACTATTCGATGTGGCAAACAAAAATGCTAGGTTCAAGTTCTGTCATCCATGGCTATCGGAAATGCTGCTTTTTCAGAGACGGCCATGTCGTCCTCTTGATCTAGCATCTTTCCCTTTCGGTTTGTTTTCTTCTGCGTTCTCATGTGCTGCATTTTAAAAAGACTTGACTTTTTTTTAAAAAAAAAAAAAAAAAAACTTTTCCTAATTACATGTCCAGCTAATCATGCCACCTAATTAGTTTATTTTGTCAAGTCAGAAGCCCCATCATCCAGACTACCACTTTTTGTGCTAGCTCAAATTCCAAGGAGCATTGGTTTGTGCTAGCTCAAACCAATGTTTTGTAACGAAATAAATTCCAAGGATTAAAACTACATGCTTGAAATTCCATTGACCAAAACCAAAATAGACCTAAATTTGAAGGACTAAAAGTTATATTAATCTTTTTATGTTTTATATTCATATATGAAGTTAATGATGAATTTATTTAGAACATATGACATATAAAAAATATTTCTTATTTTAAGAATTTAAGGAGTTATTTTAATTATAGATATGCACTTAAAAAGTTTAATCATTGTTTTTAATAAGTGAAAAAGTGAACACATAGATGTTTTTTAATGCATGATGTTGACTTGTGCGATTTTACCTTTTTAAATATTTTTCTAGCCTTATGTATAAGTCACTTCCAACATGTTTTACACAGACTAAAAAAGACCTTAAACTTCATTAACTCTCGTCTAAAATTCAACAACTTTCTAATTTTATCCCTATTTAATATACATTATACCTCATGTAAATAAAGTCAACATAATAATAAATTAAAGGTAAAATTGTACATCCATACAAAAAAATTTCTCTTAGTATTTTATAAATAAGACCAAAAAAAGTTTTCTCTTTCTGACTTATAAATAGAAATAGAGTAGTAGACTATATTATTTATATATGTTTATTTTCGATTCATTTTATTTTTATATTTATGTGTGAAATCAATGATGAATTTATTTAAAACAGATCACATATAGAAAATGTTTCTTATTCTTAGAATGCTTAGAGTTGAAGCATGAATATACATTATAAAAGTTTAGGAATTGTGTTCAATAAATGGGAAAGGAAACACGTACCTCGTTGTGATGTCTGATTTTATATTTATGTAATTTTCACCTTTTTAAATAAATTGCATTATTTATATTTTAACTTAATGTTGGATTTTTTTTATATTGATGTTTTGAAATTAACGATGAATTTATATAGAACATATCATATATATATATATATATATATAGCAAATATTTTTTTTGTTTTAAGAATTTTAAGAGTTATGATTATTAGTCTGCACTTAAAAGGTTTAAGAATTGTTTTTCACTAAATGAGAAAGTTAACGTACACCCCTTTTTATACTTGGTGTTGACCCATGTTATTTTAACTTTTTAATACATTGTATTATTTATATATTGACATGCTATTAATTTTGTTTTTATATTTATATATGAAACCAATGATGATTTTTTTTTATGACATAACGTACATAGCAAATATTTTGTAATTATGAACACGTGCTTTGAGAGTGTATGAATGGTTTTCATTAAATAGGAAATGAAACACATGTCGAGTTGTGATGCCTACTCTTACACCCATGCTAATGCAATTCTTTGAATAAACTATACTATTTATATTTTTGCTTACTCTTAATTTTATTTTTATATTAGTGTATGAAATTCATGATTAATAGCAAATATTTCTTATTTTAAGAATTTGAAGAGTTCTTTTAATTATGGATCTGATCTTAAAAAGTTTAGAAAATGAACATATATATGCTTTTTAATGCCTGCTATTTATCTATGTGATTTTCATTTGTTTTAAATAAAATGAATTATTACATATTGACTTCAAATTGATTTTTTTTTACATTGATGTATGAATTCAATGAGAACACATCACATATAAAAAGACCTAGCTAACAAACATGATGATTACAAACAAACATCCAAACTTATGGGCTTATAATTATTGACAAGAGATACACCACTCTTGGCCATCTTGTTGAATAGATTTTTTGACGCCCTAATATTATTAATCAAACAGTAACCATCCATTAAAGTGTTGTAAGGAACTACATGAGGTCTTATACCACACTTCATCATCAAGCCAACAGCAGCTTCAGTTTCGGCAACACTTCCTTCTTTGCAAAATGCATCACGAGTATAGTAAAAGTATGAATATTAGGGTTGATGCCTTCATGTCTCATTTGATTAAACAATTTTGCAGCTTCTGACCATTTACCCATGACACAAAAACCACAAATAAGAGAGTTGTAGGTCACAATATCAGGGCATATTCGATGATCAATCATTTGATGAAATAAATCCCATGCTTCTGTTATAAGTCTTTCTCTGCAAAAGCCATCAATAATAGTATTATACATAACCAAATTTGGCTTAACTGGTCCTCTCGCCATCTTTTCAAGCAATTTAACCGCAGCTCTTGTTTTTTTAATTTTACAAAGCCCATTGATGAGTGTGCCATAGCTAACTACATTTAACTGAAACCCTTTTGCTATCAGATCATCATGAAAATCCAAGGCCTTCCCGACCTCATTATTGATACAGAGTCCCTTCATTAGTGTAGTCAGAGTAACTGTATTTGGCTGACAGCCTATCTTAAGAATCTTGCCTAACGCAGAGAAAGCAAAAGCAATTTGACCCACATGGCAGTAACAATTAATCAAGATGCTCAGTGTTACCAAATCTGGCGTGAATCCTTTAGATTCTGCTAGTGCGAAAAGGGAGATAGCAATAGTATAATGTTTCATTCTTGCAACAGATCCTAAAATTTTAGTGATTTGGACTATAGACGGTGGGGGATGCCTATGAAGCAGGCCATGGAAAGAAGAGACAGCCTCTTCAATAATCTCAGTATTTGTCGAATGGGAATGGAAACGGGAGCGGGGAGTTCGGACATATGAAGTAGAAAGAGGGAATAAAGATGGAGACGATGCAGGGAACAAAGGAAATTTGGAGAAGCCATACCGTGAAGCTCCACAAAAGAACATCTTTAACTTTCAGATCCGCCGAGTGATTGACCAGAGGAGACAAGAAAAGTAGTCGAAGCCGGCTTAAAACCCCAAAACCTTTCGTTTTTTCTTTTGGCCAAAACCGAACTTTTTGTTCATCTTCTCTTTCTTCCGGCTTATACGAACTTGCATCTTGCCGCATGGCGTCCTCTGTAATCTGCTACTATTATTTTATTTAAACAAAACTATTTTAAAAAAAACAACAACTGTATAATCAATAATTAATGCTACTCCTCATATTAAATTTTAAAAGATAAATGAGAAATTTATCTTGATCCTAAATTTAATATTTTAATTCATTTTTCCTTCTAAATTTTTAACACAAATCACAAAAAATATTTGTTAAATTTTAAAAAGATAAATAAGTATTTTTATAATGGTTTTGACTATTTTGTAATGATTTTAACATCTGTTAAAATTACTTATTTATCATTTTAAAATTCAATTCATATTTTCTTGTTATTTTTTCAGATTTACGAGATTTTTTTAAAATTATTCCTATTAATTATACATATTGCGTCTAAAAATAAGAGGAATATTCTAGAAGAAGAAACACACATTCTAACAAATAATTAATTTAACTAATTTTTTTAATTTATTCTAATCAATTATGAAACCCTTATATACTAAGTATTGGAGATAATAAAATTCAAGATTAAAGCTGAGAATTGATATGATTTTCCTGGCGACAAGCCATGAGAAGAAAATTATGTCATATAAGCATTGAAATTTATTGAAAATTTTTTTTTCTGCCAATGAAAATATATATTTATATAAAATAAGGTGCAAAGTCCTACAAATAAAAGATGACAAATAACAAAGCAAAAGAACATAAGAACTGAAAATAAAAAAATAAAAAAACTACACACAGGTGGCAGAACACATTAGGATCAACCAGGATTGTTGAGAGTCCTTCTGAACGTCATTCGCCAATAATAGGGAAAATTTCATTTAAGGACTGCAGTTGAAAATTTATTTCAAACAGCCCTCAAAACATTCTGAAATGTCACTGCAGGACCAACGGACCAAACTAAAATTAAAATTAAGAGTAAGATTACAATAATACCCCTCATTTTATTTTTTTTTAAATAAATATTAATGGTCGCCGGAGTTCAGATCACTGGAGGTCGGAGGTCCGGCCACTAGCTCTTAAATGGCCATTACTATAGCTCCGGTGGCCAGAAGATTTTTTTTTTAAAATAAGGTGGCCAATGGAAGGTTTGAACTCATAACCCATTGACACACCAAGGTGTTTAGGTAGAAATTAAACCATGATTTTAAAAGTGCTTTTACGGTATACGAAATAAATATGTGGAGAAGTTTGTCTCGTTTTGCGGAGGAGCACTTTTGAGTGCTTCTAAACACCCCCTATTATGCAAATAAAAATATATATAATGCAAATAAAAATTTAGTCATATAATGCAAATAAATATATATAACAAAACAAAAGCAAGTATCCAAGTGTAAGTGAACAAATGAAATTTAACAATTTACAAATAACATAATGGAATTCGCAACCCCAACTGTAATATTTAAGTGTAAATGAGCAAATGAAATTTGAAGATTTATAACAAAAGTTTATAGATTTACAACCCAAATTCGACTATTCACAAGAAACACAAGAAAATTCACAACCCAAAATGTAAGTGTTTGAATGTAAATAAACAAGTAAAATTCAGCTATTTACAACCTAAATTCGTTGATTCATAAGAAACATAAACATTACAAAACTGAAAAGAGAATTCACAATTTCAAATACAAGTATTCATGTTTCTTATGAATCGTTGAATTCGGTTATAAATATCTTAATTGTTGTTGTAAATATCTAAATTTTATTTGTTCATTCACACTCAAACATTTACATTTTGGGTTGTAAATTCCTTTTTATTTTTGTGAATCGCCAAATTTGGGTTGTAAATTGATGAAATTTTTTTGTAAATTTTCAAATTTCACTTATTCATTTATATTTAAACATTTGCATTTGGGGTTGTGATTTCCATTATATTATTGGTAAATCACCAAATTTTTGTTATAAATTGTTGAATTTTACTTGTAAATTGTCAAATTTCACTTATTCATTTACACTTGGACACTTGTATTTGCTTTGTTATATATATTTTTATTTGCATCATATGACTAAATGGTTTGGTTGGCTTTGTGATCACATCACTTTTGATGTGCCAATAGGATATGGGTTCAAACCTTTCCTTAGCCACATTATTTTTTAAAAAAAAATATTCCGCCCACCGGAGCTACAGTGGTGGTAGCAGCCACCAGAACTCCAACCTCCGGCGGCGGCCACTGAAGTGCAGATGGCCAAAACTCCAACGACCATTAATATTTATTTTTTAAAAAAATAAAAATGAGGGGTACTATTGTAATATTACTCTTAATTTTAATTTCAGTTTGGTCCTTTGGTCCTGCAGTGACATTTCAGAATGTTTTGGAGATTATTTGAAATAAATTCTCAACTGTGGTTCTTAATCGAAATTTTCTTGCCAATAATATATTACCTCGAGCTATTTCAACTTTTAGTTTAGCCTAAAATATAAAATCTCAATCCACTTTGTCTCTCATATTTATTTATTCCTTTCAAAGCAATCCTTGTATTAGTTACATATGTTAAATATTTAATCAAATAGTAGTTTTAGCTAATACATATTATTAGTAAAGATATTATAGAAAAAATAAATTATTTATTACAAATAACTAACTTTAGACTTTTTAAACTTTCTTAATCTACTCAAATTAGTCAACTAACTCTTCTACTTGCCTCGGTTCTTAATATAAGAGCTCGTTTAACTTTTATTTTTATTCTAAATATAAAACTATAATCCAATTTATCTCTCATATTAATCCATTTTTTTCCTAAGGTGATTCTTACAATAATGATAATTCTAGCCAATATACTTGATTAGTAAGAATATTATAAAAAATACAACTCCTGTTTATTACAAATAACTAACTTAACTAGTTTTTTTTAATCTATTCAAATTAGATAACTAGTTCTTATATTAATAATTAGAAATAGTATTAAGAAGCACAAGTAGTATGAATCCACTCAAAAGAATGGTTCTCGATCAAATTCACTGAGACCAGGCTTCTCAAAGAAAACGTCATATCTCCAACGAGAGGAAGGATATTGTTGGAGTGATAATTTTAATTAGCAATTTGTTGTCTGATTTTGGAACTGAATGTCAGTAATTTATTGAAATTTTGTTAATGAAATAAATATTGTAAAAGCAAAAATAGCACTGATAAGTTTATTAAAATTATGCCACTGGAAATGTGAATGATCACAGGCAATTATCAAACCTATCTTATATAGATTTATCAATCATACTAATCCGAAGTCTATATATGACAATTGACATATTCCTACAATCTATTTGGTTTAACTTTTAACCATACATATATCACCAAACTTTGAAAAAATTAAAGGAGGTTTAGACTTTTTCTAAAAAAAATTTGACTTTTTCTTATAAAAATTTATATGAATTGCAGCAATATTTATAATTATTGGTATTAATATTATTATCAAATAACTGAGACAATGATATTCTCTTGATATTTTTAAAGTTAACGAAGTTTTCTAATATTTTAAATAAGAAAAGTATTATAGAAATATGATAAAATTAGTTATTTGGATTATCTTATTTGATAATTCTAGTTAATGTGTATTTCTAAATGAAATGCAACATTACTTAAATTTTAGGATTTTTTTTTTGGCTAAAAATTTTCAAGAACTTAGAGCAAGGTTATAGCGGATCACCTTTGAATTTAAAGTGAATAATGCCTATACAAAATACTTCAGTTGTAAAAATAAACTTTGGCCCTAACAATTACGTAGATGATCAAGACTTAACAGCTTTTTCAATAAAAAATAAGCACAATGAATTCACAAATACATTATGTCGTCTATGTTGCATAATTTATTTTCAATTTTCTAATAAAAAGAAAAATTCACAAGTGTGTGTTAGATACAATACATACATGTAAGATACGACAATTACAAAAATTTTATGATATGAGTATAGACACATAAATATGATACTAGCCTTGGGTCTTAAATATAAGAGTTAGTTTGTAGCACAAACTAGCTCTTATATATATATATTTGGTTATCCAAAGCATCCTCCCACCCGAACGGTAAGACACTAATCTTTCGGGGTATTATCCGATGTCGTAGCAAAGACCCCTCTCAACAGTGTTTTTTCCATACACACTAAGAATCAAACCTAAGACATGACATTTAATGTGTCCAAGTTCCTTCCATTTAAACAAACACTTGATCAGATAAAAAAAAAAAACAAACACTTGTTGGTAACTAGCTCTTATATTTAGAATTGAGCTAATGTGTCTATTTGAAGCTTTTCAAACTTGAGCAATCTAGCTGGCTCAACTGATTAGATCGAAATAAACTCAATCATGCTTTCAGATTTTCTTTTTTGTATGTTTATTTCAAACAGTACAAAATCACTTAAAAGAAGCTAATCCTATGCCTTATCATTCTACTGCTCATAAAGACATTTTTCAAAGTTGGTTCAACTGACTTGCAGCATTTGTTAGATCAACACAATTAGACTGATAAATACATTGCTCAACCTCACCTACACAACGAACGGTCTCCCATCAATTATGCAGCCAGTATATCGTAAGTTAGGTAAAAGAAATATGCTTCTGTATCCAGAAACTCCATAACTTGGGTCATGCAGAAGTCAATATGTACGATTTGAAGGCCACATATCAGAAGAGATCATTATATTGTGCTGTAATCTAAGTTATAATGACCAAGCATTAATGCCACATGTCAGGAGTTAGTTAAAAGAAGTTTTCGTTTGTAGCCACAGACTCTATAGCTTACAAAGGAAGAGATCATTATATTCTGTTTTTTCGGGTACTTGATGAATTATAGTACAAGTTTCAGAAGGATTGGCTTTGTCCAGAATACCAAGTTACTTCTCAAGGGATGTTACGCA